GCCACGCCACAATCCCTTCTCCTCCATTCTCCTCTCAGGATCTTGGGCACACACGCATACACACCTGGTGTGAGTTTTAAGCCACTGGGTCTGGGACATGAACCGCGGTTAACTATGTGGGAGTCCAGCCACATAGCCATTATGCCAACTGCTGGTCCCTTGGTGTTATTTTTTTTTTAAAATCTGTTTTTTTCATATGGATTTTCACAGATTTTCCATGAATATTTTTGAAAACCCTTTGTATAGATGGTAGGCCTTGATTTTTGCTGCATATCTTTTATTAATGCATCCTTTTTCTACTGCTGCCTGACACAGCACCATAAACTGAGTCTCTCTAAACCACACTCCATTTTCTATTACACAGTTTCTATGGGTAAGGAGTCTGGGTATGACCTGGCTGGGTCTTCTACTCAGGGTCTCATAAGGGTGTGATTAAAGTGTCATCTGGGCTGCGTTTTCATTTGGAGGTTGATTAGGGAAGAATGTGTGTTTATTCAGTTTGCTAGAAGAATTTATTTGCTATGACGAAGGTCCCTAGCTATTTTCTAGTTCTTGGCTAGAGACTACCCAGGTGCTACAGGTTGCCAACAGTTCCTAGAGACTGTTTACAGTTCTTAGCCATGTAGGCTCTGAGGGTTAATTTCCAGTGCCACCTTGATTGGGTTAATGAATATCTAAAACCTGGCTAAACATTATTCTGTGTGTGTTTGTGTGTGTGTGTGTGTTTTGTGAATGTTTCCTGAAGAGATTCTTGTGTGAGTCCAAAGGGGCTAGGAAGGGAACATATACCCTCATTGGGGATGAGCACCATCAAATTGGCTGGGGCCAAAGAAAACAAGTGAGATGGCAGATTGGTCTCTCTTGGAGTGTGGGTTAGATGACTTCTGCTGACTTGGACAACTCAAGGCTGACCTGCCTTTGGACTCCAGGACTTACATCATCCCTCCTCCCTAGCCCCTTGGGCTCTCAGCTTTTGGTAGCTTGGACTGTCCTTGCCACCACTATCCCAGAGTCTCCAGCTTGCAGGCCATTGTGGAACTTCTTAGTTGCCATAATCATGAGAGCTAATTCTAATAAATTCCCTCATAGATCTGTATACATGTCCTAATGCTTCTGTACCTCTAGAGCACCCTCATACAGATATTTGTATGAAGAATTGTTCTAAAGGAACAGACATTTTCAATTACTATTTTAGTTTTCACTATAGGTTGCATGTGAGACAGAGGGAGAGATGCAGAAGGAAATTGAGAAATCATCTTCCAGGAGCAATGACCATACTGCAGTCCCTTATCCATTCTCCTCTTAAGATTTTGGACACAACATGCCCAGTGTATCTTTTCAAGCTGCTGGCTCCAGGACTCAAACTGCTATGTGGGATCTGTCAGTTATGTGAGATCTAGGGGCCTTAACCTCCACCTGCTGGCCCTCAAACTTTTTCTAATTTTTGAAAAATATTTATTCATGATAGAGAATGAGAGAGGGAAGCACCATACCAAAATACCTCCTCTCTAGCCATCAGGAACTTAAGCACTTATGCATGCACCTGGCATGTTTTTAGGTTGATCAGGAGGTCCAATCCAGTGATCAGCCATGTGCTCCATGTGGTCCTCTGCACTACAGTTCAGTCTG